TTTAGTTATATGGTATAGATAATGTCTAAATTATATTTAAATTTTCTAGCGATTTAGAAAAAAATATATAATTTAGATAGTTTTTTGACATGAAAACACACACACACACACACACATAATAGGAGTCTGTGCCTTAGGGCAGGTTTGTGAGCTAAAACTCAATCTCAATTCAGAGAAGAATAGTGTGTGATATGAAATGGCCATTTCATTTTGCAGTGCTGCAATTGGGCTATTTTTGAATACAAGAAAGCGAGGCTTGGACACACCACCCTGTCCACACAAGACATTGAACAACCATATGTACATATATATATATATATATATATATATATATATAGTGGATAATGTGTACATGTATGTACATTTCTATGCCATTTGTACATAGTGTATAAAGCTTAGTAGCATCTATTGTAATCATATATGATATATATATATATATATATGCACATACACAGTGGATAATATATACATTTATGTACGTTTCTATGCTATTTGTGCATAGTTCATAAAGCTTACTAATCATCATACATTTATGTGCAATTTATATATATATAAAGCTTAGTAGCATCTATTGTAATCATATATGATATATATATATATATATATATATATATATATATATATATATATGCACATACACAGTGGATAATATATACATTTATGTACGTTTCTATGCTATTTGTGCATAGTTCATAAAGCTCACTAATCGTCATACATTTATGTGCATATATATATATATATATATATATATATATATATATATTTATATTACAGTACACATTATATATGTGTATACATACAAATATATAATATATACATTTATGCAAATTGCATATCTTATAAATATGTATTGTAATAGTATAATGTAACATGTTATTGTTGAAATTATACGCTTTTTTATATTCAATTTTGGTTTTTTAATTTAAAAAAAAAATTTGAATTCAAACGGTCTATATAATATTGGTGCATTTCTTCAGCATTTTATATTCGCACCCATGGTCGACGCTGGCGCCATCTACATTGGGAGAGGGAACTAACCCGGACAAATTGACAGTTTTGACCGAAAAACGTGGCAACGAAATATGGCCCGAGAGAGCGATCTATATACTCTTCTTTTATCTATGTGCCTCGGTATGGAAATAAAAATTATTTTATAAATCTTTGGCTTTTCTTTGTTTGATGTATCGCCCTCAAGAACTCACTCATATATATATATATATATATATATATATATATATATATGTTTTCCATCTATGGTGCGATGGTGCGTGCCTATATAAGGTCTATATAAGACACGTACATAAGGTCTATGGTGCTTTACCATTAGTTCATAGATAACTCACTGGATGAGATACAAAAGTGATGTCATAACGACGGAAAGCCATAGAGTAAAAAAACTATTTGTATTATCAGTCTATATTAATGTCAGGTACAGTACAATGAAGAGAAACGTGATCAAGCAGCGTGGTTTGGATTGTCACGAATAGATTACTAAATTCAATTTTTATTTTAAATTATGTGATATAATCAAGTCACAAATGAACAATTTTATATAATAATATCATTTGAAAATTTTGGTGAATGGGTGAAAACATAAATCTATAATTTGTAAGCTTGTGCCTTTTGTATGTACGCGTACTTTCTAAAGTGGCAATTTTAATAATAATTTAATAATAAATAGATATTTATAAATATACGTAAATAATGAGTGATGACGATCGTGACATAGATATTGAAAGTGATGTAAGTATGCTACCACATGCTGTTTCCTATTTTCTTGAATTTAGTGCATAAATGTGTCATTTCAGGATGCTGATGACTCGGATTCTCGATTACCAGGGCGCAATGCTGGAACTATATATTATTCACAGGTATATAATATTAATTATATACCTTATATTATATATTTTCATTATTTACATCACAATATAATATCTGATATTGATGTCTGTAGTTGTGATTTAATTATTAAATATGACCATAATTCATCAAAGGAAAATAATTAATTCATTAATTTGAGAACTCAATAAATGCAGTTATGTTTATTCATAATGATTCATTATTGTTTTTTATATTCCGATACTGTCATAGAAACAGTTTGGAACTTATTGCTTATTAAATTTATGAGAAAAACTGACAGCTTCGAAGAACTTTGAGTATAGGCTATATTCAAAGGCAATAATAGCCTTTATTTTTATTATCGCTTTGTTTTTTTTTATTTTTATTTTTATTTTTTATTTATTTTGCAATAAATGCATCTCCATATCTCAGTCAGAAAGGTATAAGAGATTATGGATTGCTTCATGACTTGTTATGTTTTTGATTACAGTGACACTTTTTGTATTTATTTTTATATAATTTTTTAATAAAATCGAAGTGCTGAATTTGAATATAGATCATTAGGAGAACTGCATTAACTCATTCTAGTCATAAATTTTTGTGTACAGTGTTGAACAGAAAAATATCATTCTAGTTCTATTTTGAATTCGAGTCCTAAATGCTTCTCACTATAAGTAGATTGCTAATATAAACTGTTTTCTTGTGGAATTACATATAACTCTTAATGAATATTTTTTTATTGCAGGCAGAAAAGAGAGCTCATCATAATGCTTTGGAGAGAAAGCGCAGGGATCACATAAAAGACAGCTTCACTTCACTAAGGGACTCTGTCCCAGCTTTACAAGGAGAAAAAGTTGTGAGTTCTGACAAATATGTCATGTTTTATTTTCAAAACTATGAATGGTTTTAAAATTGTTTTGTATAAAAGAAACCTGTTATATGTAATTTTTATTTACAGGCAAGCCGAGCACAAATACTCAAAAAGGCAGCAGAGTATATTCATTTTATGAGGAAAAAAAATAATTGCCACCAGCAAGATATTGATGATCTCAAGAGGCAAAATAGTATTTTAGAGCAACAAAGTAATGTTTGATATTACTAATAAATAATTTGATAAACCAATTTAATAATTTGATAAACTAATAAGAGTTTCATACTACATGATTAGCAAATATTATGAGCATAAAATCATGGGTGTTGATACAAATATCAAAATTACTATAAATCTAAGTGCTTATTTTATTAATATCTAATTAACTGTGATATTGTTTTAATATTCATAATACATTTTTTTATTGAAGCATTAGCTAATGCATAAAATGTGTAATAGTGTTTCACAAATTATTTTTCACGAGATACGTTAGAAAACGATAAAATTGTGCATTAGTTCTTGGAAAAGTGGCAAATGTGCTTATTATGTTATCAATGTATCTATGTTATAAACAAATGAAACATCAATTATTGAAAATATTTACTGTTTAATATTATTTTACTTAATTTTTGACTACTATTGAAATTTCTCAAAATACTATTGAACTTTTTCTGCATTTACTGGTTTTCATTATTATAGTTGTTTGTTAAAATGTACAATATGTTGTTAAAATTCTTTTAATATCAAATACTTATTATCCAAATAATTTAATATCGTTAATCACTGTTTGTCTTCCCTTGGCATGCTGATCATTTTTCAATTAATAGAATATTTTCAATTAATATATATATATAATGTATGTAACCTAACTAAGAAAGATAAATGTATTTTAATATATGTTCACTCATGATTGCTTTTATTTACAGTCCAAACACTAGAAAGGGCAAAGGCAACAGGAAATTTTGCTGCTGAAACTAGCGACTTATCAATGAATATTAAAAGTGACGGAAGTTCCTTAACTTCAGATAGCTCTGATAATGATTCACCATCAAGGACAAACAATAAATCTAGGCACAATAAGAGAATTAAGTTGAATGGTTATGCCTAATAAGTTTAAGGATTTAACTTTTTATCAGATATTGTTAATTAATCTTTATAACTGTATATAAGTGAATTTATGATTGTTACAGTTTTAAGATTACATTAACGTTATCTACTTCAAATTTATTTTAATCTATATGTATAAATATGAATTTGTATTATTTTTCAAGAATAAATTTAATGCAAAAATTGTAATACCTTTCAATATCTTGAAGAAATTAAGATTCCACTTATATGTTAGATAATTTCTTATGAAAAATTTTATTTATATTTAATGATTATGAACAAATTTTCTTTTATGCATTTCTGATATATGCATATTTGATTTCAGTTTTTTTCTGTCCTAACAATTGATAAGGTAATGGATCCATACTATTTGCTATATTAATTCTAATTCCTAGATTTTTATGTTGTTAAGAAAAGGGTATGGGCGCATTGTCATTCAATTTTACAATTGCATAGCCGATAGGCCGAGCCGTTTTTCTAACTTCACAGAAAAAAGCAAGATTTTTCGTCTACGTTTTCGCAAAAAATCCTCGAGCGCTTTTGAGATTTTAAAAACCCTTTAAAAGATATCAATTAGGAATCGTGCAGATTAGTTTCTTTGCTTAAAAAATTGTTGACGATTTCGATGAAACTTTTTATAATGATAGTATTCATTGATATAAATTAACATACTGAAATATTATAGGCCTTGGAAAGCGGTCAAATAATAAAAATTTATCCGTTCCGTTTGATTGCTGATTACCGCTTTGATGCCTAAACTTAAATAAAATGCATTTCTGAATCATGAAGTTTAATGCAATTTGATAAATAAATTAATTTATATAATTAAGGATGTGAGTTTATTTGCCTTTAGAATATTTATAGAAAATCGCATCCTAATCTTATTTTTTAGTATGAAGTGAAAACTGTTTTTTTTTTAAATAAATAAATGGTTGAAAATTTTATCTAAATAGCTAAATCTCAATTCTCATTGATTATCAAGTGGATTTCTTATTTACATATATCGGGAAATGGGAAAAGCTCATGCAACTATTTGTTTCTCTTATCTATGCAACTCGCCTTAAGGCGAAACGCCACTTACAACTAGTTACTGAATTCTAATGTTGGCAATGAATTTTATACTAGTACTAGAATGATTCGGTGACATGAATGAAGTAAACTGACGCAATGAGTGACATTTATTAACGTCATGTGGTATAGGTTAAGTGATTTTTTTCGTTATTTATTTATTAAATTTTAACAACTATGTGGTCTTTCTTTGTAAGAGATTCCTCCAAAGATTTTCCTTATGAAATTGTTGATCAAACATATAATTTAGAAAATAGAAGTATATGGAAATTACACAAAGCAAAGAAAAAAGGTTCAAATGATGACGTCTCTGTGTTTATATTTGATATTAAAAACAATACCGAATACAATTTGGAAATAGCAAAAGCGACAATTAAACGGTTAAAGACCCTCAGACATCCTAGTATACTGCAATATATAGATAGTTTGGAAACTGAGAAGAACTTATATCTTGCTACTGAGTTTGTTGAACCTTTTGCTATGCACATCGCTGGTTTACAAATTGAAAAACGTCAACAAGATATGTACAAAGCCTGGGGTTTGTTTCAAATTACGGTAAATTACTATAACTTGCCCTACGGGAAGTTAATAACTCAGATGAAAATATTGTTCTATAATTTTGTACATTGTTAATTAAATAATTGTAAAATGTTATATACATTTATTTCAGCGAGCCTTATCATTTTTAAATAATGATGGTAACTTGCAACATAACAATGTTTCATCTTGGTCTGTGTTTATAAATACTTCAGGTGAATGGAAGCTAGGAGGGTTTGAATATATATGTGCTGTTGGTGTAGTACATGACAAAATACCAATTAAAACTTGTATAGACCTAGATGTATATGATCCACCAGAAAAAGCTGTAAAATATAAACATTCAACAAAAAGGTATTGTTAAAAGTATAGATTATTAGTATCCAATCTAGTTTATGAAACTAAAGATGTATCGAATTACAGTTCTTCTGATATGTGGGGATTAGGTTGTCTGATATGGGAGGTTTATAATGGTCCTCTCAAAAATAGAGTAAATTTAAAAGATGTGAACTGTGTAAGTAAATGTTGTGAATTTTTAAAAATTAACTACTTAGTTAAAATTAATTCATCACACAGATTCCAAGAAGTTTAAGATCGTTGTATACTGAATTAATAAGCAACAATCCATCTGATAGACCAAACCCTGCTGATATTATAATTAGATGCCAAAAAACAGGTGGATATTTTAAGGTAATTTGCGTATAATTGTTTTTTTCTAAACGCCGTTATGAGTGACAGTATTATATTACCAGAAAGTAGTTAATTAAGTAAATTAAAATGAAATTTGTAAATATGATATTATATTATATAAAAACATTGGTCATTTGTGTGTAGCCAAAGCCTGAAAGTTTTTGCTTGGCTGAAATGATGATAAAATTCTAAAAGTTATTTGAAACCTCTTTTGGTTTATTTAAAAAATCTATATTTTTGTTTTAAATTAAATTAGAGTTATATATATATATATATATATATATATATATATTATATGTTTAAACTATATTTTTAAAAATACCAAATAAGAGTTTTTTTTTTCAGAATGACCTAATCGATTCTTTACTATTTTTGGAAGAAATACAAATAAAAGACAAAGCAGATAAAAATAAATTTTTTTCAACTCTCACAACTCAAATTGATTTCTTTCCTGAAAATGTTTGCAAGTATGTTCTTTACTATATTAATTTATGTCAGAACTTTTTATATAAATATTTGTTTTAGGTATAAAATATTACCCCAATTGATAACTGCTTTTGAGTATGGTGAAGCTGGTTCCGCAGTTCTGGCACCAATGTTTAAAGTAAATAGTATTAATTTTATTATTATCATTATTAGTATCTCAGTATCTAACTTGTTATTGTTTGCTAGCTTGGTAAATTGTTAGACGCAGATAATTATCAAAAATGTATTGTACCATGTGTTGTACGTTTGTTTGCTTCTACGGATCGTGCAACAAGATCTCGTCTATTACAACAACTTGATCTTTTTGTAGAACATTTACTGCCAGCTACTGTTAATGACCAGATTTTTCCGCAAGTAGTGAATGGTTTTCTTGATACAAATGCAACAATAAGGGAGCAAACTGTAAAGGTATCAATTAGTTATACAATAGTTTAGAATATACTGTCACAATTGGATGGAAATTTTTTTTAATTGCTTGTTACTTTTTAGGCAATAGTTCACTTGGCTTCAAAATTAAGTTATAATAATCTTAATGTAGAGGTATTACGACATTTTGCTCGTTTGCAATCTCGCGATGATCAAAGTGGAATCAGAACGAATACTACAGTATGTCTCGGTAAGATAGCGGCACATTTGAATCCTCAAGTTCGACAGAAAGTTTTGATATCAGCATTTGTTCGAGCTACCCGCGATCCATTTCCTCCAGCTAGAACAGCAGGTGATAATAAATAAGGCTTGGATATGATTTTTATACTATTTTTGTTTAAACATCTTATTACCTATACTGATTACATTTGTTAACTTAATTATAAAGATTATTCTAAAAACTTCATTCACCGAAAGTTAGTTAATTTATTTGCAAGTGCTAGCTTTTTTTTTAATTTCCATAGACTCATTAGCAAGAGAATGCGATTTAAAATCATCTTTACACTTTGTAAGTGACCACATTGCTTTGTCTGCTATGCGTGATAAAAATAATGTCTTTGTTATGATTCTTTTATTATTATAATATGTTAACTTGTTAGTAATATTTGAAAACTTTTTTGTTTGTTTTTTCTAAGTTGAACACAATTTGTGTCGTCTTTCCACTTGAACGATTCTGTTTATCATTTTTTGTAAACTCATTTATATATATATATATATATATATATATATATATAGTATGTAGTTCATTAAAATAATTTTTGTCATATGGCAGGAGTGTTAGCTCTTGCAGCAACCCAGCAATACTATCTACTATCAGATGTGGCTGGACGCATATTACCAGCACTATGTCCCCTTACTGTAGATCCAGAACTTTCAGTGCGAGATCCAGCATTTCGCACACTGAAAGGGTTTCTGGGAAATTGGAACGAGTTTCACAAGATCCCACTTTAAAAAAACTATGGGTATGCTTTATTATTCATTCAATTATGTGATCATGTTTTACGTTTCTAAGATGTATAAATGTATGTTGAAACAAAATTGCATTTTGTGATAAATGCATGTAATTTAATATATTTAACTTAAGATAATATTTTATTGTAATTCTTAAATTTTATTAACTATTTGCACACTTTATTAATAAGCCTATTCAATCCGAAATAAAATTTAATATGATTGAAAAAAACTTCGAAAAATTCACACTTTTTATTTAACAGTTTCCATATAAGCTAATTTTTGTCCTTTTTGTACACGTATATCAATAAAATTTATCAAAATAACATACATTTAAACTATTAATGGATAGAATGATCCAAAAGTTAAAAGTATTTTCGATTGAAATAGAAAGCATATTGGTATTAATATAATAATAAAGTTGATTTAATTATATTCGTTATGAAATTAATATCTTAAAAGTGAAGTAATAATATTTCAATAAATAGGAATTATAGTCATATTATTTCTATGTAATGGCCATAGATAAGGAAATGGTAATGGCTTTAAATAAATTTAATATATTGAACATTATTACTACATCATGTTGGAAGTACTTTATTGTATTCTTTTCATTTTGATTAATTTAATATAGTATAAGGGATCGTTCAAGTATTACGTAAGCAGATTTATTACAATTATTTACCCCCCCTCTCCCCTTTGTCAGCAAGTAAGCAAAGTTTTCTACCCAAAATAAGCAAAATAAGCAAATCAATAA